ACATAACAGGCGCGCGCTTCGCGTGCGCTGCGTATTGAATCCCATACATCTTCCAATAACATTTATACCAATTTACATTTTAATTAAACAAATGTTAACAATTTTTGATAAAAAATAAATTTTCAAAAAAAATGACGCTGTGCGCGCGGTGCGTATTAAATTCCATACATCCTCCAATAACATTTATAACAAATTACATTTTAATTAAACAATTAATTTTAACAATTTTCAACAATAAAATGACGTTTTAATCGGCAATACTGAATTGGCCATTTTTAAATAAAATCACGATTTTTTAAAAAATAGCCACATAATTCATCTTTAAGATAAGCCCAGAAAGAAGTCGACATTTTTATTTTTCTGGAAGATATGAATTTTTAAACATTGAGAAAAAGAAGCTTCAATGCAGATAACATGGCATTCGATTTTTAAAATAAAAATTATTTTTTTGAAAATTTTTTATATCTGCAGTTGATTTTTAAAATAAAAATATTTTTTTGAAAATTTTTTATATCATGACTTTTATAATAAAAATTTTTTTTGATCCACCATCACCCACCACCACCACTTATTACCAGCCACCACCACCCATTTTAATTAAACAAATTTTAACAATTTTTGAAAAAAATAAATTTAAAAAAAATTACGTTTTAATCGGCCATTTTTAAATAAAATCACGATTTCTTAAAAAATAGCCACATAATTCATCTTTAAGATGAGCCCAGAAAGAAATCTATATCTTTATTTTTCTGGAAGATATGAATTTTTTAACATTGGGGAAAAGAGGCTTCAAACGCAGGTAACACGGCAATTTTAAGATAGGATGTGATCTCGAAGTGAAACACGATAAACGTGTTTATAAGTATGTATTTGTATGGAGTAAAGCATTTAAAATATTACAAGCTGTTATCATTGAAATTCATAACAAAACATATCACAATAAAAAATTTTTTAGATAAAGGTTGATACAAGAAGAGGAAAAGAAGAGAATAGAGATGTTAGTTTGATTTTATAAGTATGCCATATTACACGCCGTATACTATAAAAATTTATTTTCTTTGTATTCGAATTATGTGCAGATATAACAAATAGCTATTTATTTTGATAGAAATGGATAATTTTTTATACAATGCACAATATAAAGAGTAATATGTTATGTTTTTAATCGTAAAAACTGTATGTTATATATCTCTTTTGATTTTTTGGTATAATGTACTTTATTTAAAGTCAACATGGACTTTGAGTCATAAAGCTGTAATCTTTTTTGATCAGGTTTACGTGCCGACGGGGAATTTCCGACTAATTCGCAACATCTTCACTTATGTACACAACTGTATGTTACATATAATTTAAGCAAAATCGTGAGAGTCAAAAAGAGTGCATTTGCATGGGTCTATCATGTCCTGTGTCATGTCTACTTGTCCTTGTGTCTGTTTCGTTTGTCGACAGAAGTACTATGTGCTAGCTGTAGGCTCAAGATCATTTCTCGGTGGAAATTAAAGGAGATTACCGTAAATCGTTCTTAATATTACGATCATCCTTTGATTAACCGACGCGCCGGCGATAGCACGCTTTCACTCTTCTTAATCAAAACGCGTTCACTATTGATAAACATGTTTTTTTTTTTAATTTGATTAAGGACAAAAATATAATTATTTATATTTAATAAATACATTTTTATACAGCTTAGAAAACTGAACAAAAATCGTAAAATTTAGAGAACTGCTAAAGTTGTCCAAATTTCATTAATAATCATTTTACTAAGTGCGGCGAAAGCGCATTATAATTTAACAGCATTGAATAAAATTGTACTGTTTAATGCATTTATTATTTTTTAGAAAAAGAATCATATATTACACTTTTGCAAATTTGAATGGATTGGACAAATTTTTTGTTTAATTTAATCAGAAATATTAAGTGGTTAATTTAACTACACATAATTTCAAAATAATACAGAATACATTATAGAAAAAAATCTATTGAAAAGAAAAAAATTGTAATATTTCTGTATTCGCTTATTGGTGGATGTTATTAGAGAGCGTTCTATTCTCAATTGTTTTATTATAAAAATAATTATTTCAATTATTCTAATATAAAATTTAAAAATTATGATAAATTTTTGGCAAATCGTAAGTTTATAAGTAATATGCTTACGTCTCGAATATTAATTATTTAAAAAAGTTAAGATGCATAGAAGTAATGAAATATATTTTTTATGAAATTTGTATCAATGAACTAATAAACTAAATACGCATACGCGAAAAGTAAATTTTCTGATTGCAGAATATAACAGCAAGATTTTAGCCTTCAGGATACATCCTTAAAACATGGAATACAAAGCACAAAATTTATAGATTTATTATAATTAGTTCATACTAAAGAAATAATATATGATTTTATAATATAGGATTTTAAAGTATAGAATATTAAAAATAGCAAAAGCGCATTGTAACGAAATAGCGTTGAATGAAGTGTTATAATATATTTACTATATTGATACAACCACATAAGGATCAGTTAAGAATTTTCAGTAATTAATAAAAATAAATTGCAAAAATATAGGAAAGGTCCTAAATATATATTCGATTAAAACTCTTGTCTATGGCCGCTTTTAATTCGCAAAAAAGATATGTCTCTTCATTGAATCATGGATCACGCAATCCATATCCATTGCGTGTTTTAACGCTTTAAACTCATAAGCAACGGGACGAAGAGAATTGCTTCTCCCTGAATAGGGTTGATGACCAAGGATGCACTTTATGTGGGGTGTGGTCTTTCCTAATAATGCTAATAGAGAAGACAAATATACGGAGATAAACGTTGCCACGTTTATTGATAAATCTAAATAAAAAATAATACGTACAAAAAGAAAAGATCGAATTACAAATTTAAAAGCTAATATATTCAAACGCCATTTCAATATAAATGACGTATGCAAAACATTATTTTATAAAATCTAAAAACAATTAGGAAATAAGAAAAAAAAATAAAAAATGTAAATGCGAACGAGCATGTCAAATGGTTGCAGTGAATATATTGTCGACAAGATAATGTTTATTATCGAGAGAATGTTACACCGTTTGTTTTTTCTTTGGGATAATGTAAGAAAGTGCAGAATTTTAAGTGCATACAATAATTGATTACTAAATTATCTCCCCCTCCCCCTCTCTCCCTCACAATTGTACAATTCGTGTATGTAAAAAAATTGTACATACTTTTTACAATGATCGTTTCGCCTACTAGATAAGCGGAATAACTTATTTCATGAGCAACGTTGTACGAGCATTAATTATACACTTTTCTTCATTCCGATGTATTCATGAAGATACGTGTGTCATATCATTTTAATATAGCAATGTTATCGATTTTACTGAAATATATTTCCAGTTTGGAATAAAAAGGCATGAGCACACGATCTGTTTCTTACAGAAAAAAGAAATTTCATTGATTCAACAATTTCATTCCTATAGGACTTACTCTAAAACAACAGAATAATCAGACACTTATTTTTAAATAAATACACACATAAAATCATTTTATAATGCATGCTTCGTTTTGATTCGAGTATCATGCCCTAAATTAAACTGGAAACACTACGTGCGAGGTTGTGATTAAACATTTATATGTATTTAGTATATATCAAAGATTGCTTAGTACAAGATGTGACATAACTTTCGATAATTTTATAATAGTACTGTTAGAGAACATGAACAGTGCGATTATAAAACATTCTAAGATAAGTTTCAATAATTATATGTCTATTTCATATACTATTGTAAAAATAATGTTACATTATACACATAGAAGTTTGCCAGAAAATGTTATACATAAACCATTTTCGAATTAGCGTTGCAAATAAAAAGGATATTTTGATCAAAGAATAAAAAATAAGTTACATTACCCTCTCGTTTGACAAAATATAATTTTTTTCTATTACAAATGAAAATGTTACATTTTTTAAATGTAATGCACGTGAACCGTTGAAACCAACATATTACAACTTACATATTACAATTTGCAATACTCTCCATTAGTTTCTGACCTTTTAACATAAGAAAAAATGACTGTAGTAAATATAAAATATTTTTAAAGTTAAATTCATCGCTTCCCTCTTGATCTCTCTTATCTACGCTGAAACTTTAAAATGGTTTCTAAATCGAGATACGAAGATAACATTTATTTACATTGTAACCTCTGTTTTAATATTATTTTTTTTTATTAGTTTCAGCTTTATAAACTAACCTTAACTCTTCAAAATTGATATTAGTTGCAGACATCTAGTTAAAGACATAACGATCTTCTACATCAAAGTTATAAATAAACATGTTTAAAAATATTATGCCAAGATGTTAATATATTTTCTTATAATTAACATATGCGATCTTATCTAACTTTGTTAATGTCATATTACGAAATTCTCTCATTGACGATAATGTAATAATCATAATGTAATAATATTTTACAATATCATAATTGTACATTTGCTTGATATTTTGCTAAACCACAAAACTACAATATTTTCATAAATTATTATGTGTACCTAGTGCGCTAACGGCAAAAAAAAAAAGTTCTTGTACCATGCATGTGAATCACACTGCAGCCCCCTATTTAGAGCTATGCAAAGTATTTTTAGATAATACATTGCATTCAGATTTATTATACACAATATATATAGTTTTCTCGACTATAATAATTTTTTGTTTTAAAACTAATTATGATAAGATGTACAATCTAAATAAGGAAAATTGTCAAGTGCGCTTTGGCTCTTATTGTCTAATTTTCCTTATTTTTTTTTTTTTTAAGAATATTATACTAACACTGGGACAGAAGTGAAACATTGGACTATCGAATAGGTACAATTTTCCATTATACTTATTATTACGAAATTGTCTGTAACATGTTTATATTGTTACCGCTTTCTTCCTCCTCTTCTTCCTAAAAAATGTAACATATATTATGTACTTAACTATAAATTGACTTATATTATTTTTTCTTATGTAGTATGAATGTTGTTTTAAAAAATAACTTTGTTAAAAAACATAAGGTATATTATGTTTTTTTTTTTGTATAACTCACCTCATCAAACCCAAAACAAGTTTCCATTTCCTTTTGCAGTTTAGGATCATTTTGTGAGTTCTGCGTTGATTTCGATGGAGTAGAGGGTTCTATCTTTAGATCTTGCATTTCTATATCTTCGTCTTCTTCTACTTCATCAATGTCTTCCCCTGTTCCTGTTACTATGCTATTTTCTTGAGTTAATGGATCTTGCATTACCAACTCTCCATCTTCACTCGCGACGACAGCCATCTGTTATAAGTAATAAGTTGTATTATAAGTAATGATTTCTAACAATATCATGTATTTAATTATATAATTTACTTCAAAAGACAGGTAAATCCTTCAAAGTATTTTGTTTATATACCTGATCAGTTCCTTGATTGTCCGCCAACTGGATCACTTCTAGCACAACGTATTGCTGACCGTCACTGCCTTGAACTGCCATCATGTCATCCTCGTCTTCCTCCTCTTCTTCATCGTCATAACCTTTAAGTTTAAAAGCTAAATCACCTGTTGTTATAACATAACACATGGATATTAGTCAATGATCCATATTTTAGATCATATCGTAAGTGTCCCTGTGAATATGAACAATTTTATATGCTATGAAGTAATATAAAGAAATCACGTTCACAAGCGACATAACGCATGCAAATTCAAAATTTATTGTGATTTCTTTAAAACTTCCTACAATTTTGAAGTCGTAGATTTTTACCTGTCATTACTTCAACACGTTGACCGTCAATGATTTGTATCTTCTTCTGTCTGCCGATTTTAAGAGCTTGCTGTTTTTCTTGCAGAGATGATTCCGGATCATGAACGGCCATATGTCGAATAAGATTACCTTTATGTCTGCATAATAGAAAATTTCATATTAAAAAAAGTTGTACTGACAGTTAAATTTTATCATGTCGTTTCAAATAACCGATTACGTACCTAAATGCTCTCTCGCATTCGGGACATTGATGCGTCTTTTCTTGTGGCGGTGGAGGAACGTAGGAAGGATTATGGTAGAGATTGCAATGCCGTTTGAGTAACTGTTTTTGTCTAAATGATTGAAAGCAGTGATCACATTGATACGGCTTTTGATCAGTATGAATAAGCATATGACTTTCCAAATGACGCGCCGATATAGATGCATACGGACACAGATCGCACTTGTAACATTTTTCTCCTTCGTGAGTTTTGCTGTGTAACTTATAGCTATATCTGAAATATGAAACACATATTAAAGATATAGTTTGTAAAGTACGCGCATTATAATTTTTATATTTAACAATATCTGTTACAACATCTTATTGATTTTTATTATATTTAGATAAATTATTCACGTACCTGTCCGGGAATGTTTTTCCGCAACGTTTGCATTTTAGTGGTTTGTCAGAAGTATGTAATTTTTGCACATGAATTCTAAGATCTGTTTTTCTGCCACATGTAGCTGGGCATAACTCGCATTGAAATACTGGTTTATCGCCTACTGTAAAATATATTGTAAACGTAAGAGAGTGAATTTAATAAAGAATACTTATGACTAATCACGTCATACGTAAGTAATGTAACATACACATCACAAAGCATGCACACAAAATATTACAAGTCTAATTTTTAATAACAAGAGAAGAAAAGGAAAGTTTTGAGTGAGTTTTGACTACTACTTTCAAATGTCATACAATTTTACAATTTTTATAACATTTTTAGCTTTTAAAGTAAAATCAATATTTATATTCAATGTGTGTGCAAATCATATCATACTAAATCATAAATAAAACTTTATTATAAATTTCTTTATACTAGAGCCATTAATTATTTTACTCATAATATGGTATACTTCTTGGAAGTATATCATATTTTCTATATGTACAACTTACCATTATGTATTAATTTATGTGCTTTTAAACTGTTGGATTGAGTAAATCTGGCTTGACAAAAGTCGCATTCATATGGTTTTTCACCAGTATGAATGCGAAGATGTCGTTTCAGTTTGAATGTATCTGGACTTGCATATGTACAATGTGGACACTGCAAAAAAATTATTAAATATTGTATTTATTTAATTATTAGGTAACACAGAATACACTCTCAAAGTAAAATACACAATATAAAAACAACAGTTAAAAATGAACAAATTAAGAGATAATACAAAATATGTATCAACAATTTATTTTGTAATAATTAAAAAAAAATATACGCTTCAACTCTACTTAGTCTTTATCAGTGACATAAAGTTAATTAGTTAAAATTAGTTAAAAAAACTAGAATATATGTACATAATGAAATTAAATTAGAGACATTAAATTAAGAAAAAACGTAATATATACCTGATAGGGTCGTTCGCCTGTATGGCATCTAATATGTCTCTTCAGTTTTGACAACTCGACAGAAGCATAATCGCACTCGTGACATTTGTGCGGTTTTTCATGAGTGTGTCTATAACGAACATGTCTTACAAGTTCACCTGTAAGCAAACATATAAAAATAGAAATTATTTATTATATAATTTTCAAAACTTGACAAAATTTAGGAAAGCCACTGTTATGTTACATTTTTAAGTTTCTAAATTAATTATAATATTTGATGCTTAATAAAAAATACTATTAAATAAATGTTAAAAACAAAATAAAATAATTCTAAAAATTTGGAAAATATAATTCTGAAACTTAGCAAATATATTTTAATTTTTCTTTTTCACATAATTCAGTATATATGTAATTAGAAAATGTAATTAGCATTCCAAATGACATACCGGAAGTGGTAAATGCGCTCTCGCAATATTTGCAATGATGAGGTTTGGTCCCAGTATGAGTGTTGACATGATTCTGAAGTGAAGCTAGAGTTTTAAATCCTCGCTCACAAACACTACATTTATGTGGTCTTTCTTCCGAGTGCGATTTCATATGCCGTGACAAAAGATATCTGTTACATAAATAGTTTATTTTTCTAACTTAGCATATCATTTCCTTAAATATACGCTAATAACTTCAAACAAATAAATTATATCATGATGTAATAAATATGAGTATAGAGAATATTATAGAAAGATAACGCTAAAAGTAATACCGTTTTGGGCTGGTGTAGTTGCAGTAGTTGCACATATGAGCCTGCGTTACGGTTTGAGATTTCTTTGGGAGGAACTTAATGATTTTAGTCTTATCATCTTCTGCCTCAGATTCCACTGGAGCTTCATTGTCTTCATTGTCTTCGAAATCATACACAGTGAGATCTTGTTCACCTTCTGCTTCTTCTCCCTCAGCTGCTGCAGCCGCTGCTGTCACTGTCGTCGCTTCATCTTCCGCGGTTTTACTCTCTTTATCTTCAGATTCAGGTTGCTGAACTATCAGAACGTAACTAACTTCTCCAGGATTTGTATCGGATGGTACAATCGTGACAGTTTGATATGCATCACCAGAGTTAATTACAACTTGATTGTTTTCACCGTTCACTTGTCCCTAAGATTTGTATTTATAATATATTTATAGCTGCATTTTTGTGTTTTATAAATTGTAACGGCTACAATTGTGATTTCAGCTACTACTTACATCTTCGTCACCTTCAGCGTTTTCAAGCTCTTCTATCTCTTGATACTGTTCATCTTGAGTCGTCTCGCCTTCGTTTTGTACATCAGTCTCTTCTACTTCTTGTATCTGTACCTGTGTCATTACAGGCGGTTCGTCACTATTTGCCTGGTAATAATATTGACCAGACTGATCAACAAAGTATGTCCCACCCTCTTCTCCGCCAGATAATGCTTCCACTTGTTGCACTGTATATGTGATAAATATATAGATAGAATATTCAACAGTAATAATTGTAGAGAAATTATAAAAGCACAAATTTCTATATATCTTAGATCGCTAGCTCCGAGAAATGAAGTAAAGCCAAGTAACTCAGGAGAGAAGGTAGCAGCCATCTTCACTCAGTAATGAGTTACATTCCAAAACATCGAAATTTGAAATGTCAATATTATTAAATATACACTAACACTACTTCATAAAGCACTGCGATTACCGAATAAATATGACGTCTGGTTTCACCTCAATTGGTAACAAAACTATAGCATGTTAGCGATCTAAATATTCTATAGAAATCTATGCATAAAAGATACTAACATTGCACATGTTGTAGTTGTTCACCCTGTCCTCCCTCTATCTCTTTATTAAATGTCTCCAAGTAAGTTTGTATCTCGGTGACAGATTCTTGTCCCTCTTCCAATTTTATAGCCGTTACGTTACTCATGACTAAAGCATATAGCTCAAACAACAATAGCTATGTTCATCAGTCTGAAACATTGTATCATAATATATCATCACATATATATATATGTATATATAAAATTTAAATCCAGGTAACTTAGAAATATGTGTGTATGTGTACTGTTTGATAGCTACTACACTACTATAAATATAATCTCCAATATCAATCTATAACACTTTTGCGTCAACAATTCTAAAAATAATAAAATCAGTTAAGTATGCACTATATACACGAATGTAAATTCACATTTCTCTCCATACACGCCCTATTCCCGTTTAAAAGGCAAACCATACAACAATTAGTGAAAAGATTTTCGGAACAAAGCAACAATTTTCAGTTTAGCCTTCTACTTTTTATGAACTACCGATCTCGAGAGCTAGCTCAAGAAGTCGCGAGTTTACATCGCAGGTAGGGGAAAAACACGAGGCGAGCTTGGAAAATAAACCGTTCTGACCCGTCGTCGAGACCGAAAACATGTTTGTGGGTCAGGACGCGGGCCGCCGTTCCTCCTGGAGCGTCGGCCGAGGATACGACGAGCGGATAGCAATTTCGACGGCGGGCATCGCCGCGGTGAAATTGAAGGAGAGGAATCGATAGCGCGACGGGGAAGAGAGTTTCGCGTCGCGCCGTGGGCCCGGCGCTCGGCGAGCAAAGACGAACATCCCGGTTGCCGCGTCGCCCGCGACGGCCGCGACGGCGGGGCGCTCGCGCTTCTCGGCGGCGTCTACTCGGCGCGCGCGAAGCGGATCAAGGGGGCAACGTGCGCCGCGGCGACGGCGGCGACGCGCCGCCATACGACATACGACGCGGCCCAGCGGCGCTGGAGGAGAGACGGTACGACGCCATGGAGGAGTAAGCGAGGGAAGCCGCCGCGCGCCATGACGGGCAACGCCGAGCGCGACGAGGCGAGGCGGAGGCGAGAAAGGTACGGGTGAGCAACGCGTGTGGTGACGCGGGCGGGTACCTGGGGGAACACCGTATTTCGCGGACTCTCGTAAAACACACGGCGGGGGCCCCACGAGGTCGCGCATTCTGTCGGGGAGCTTTTAAGACAACGCGGGTGCTTTCGATTTCAGGACACAGGGGGCATTAACGACAAAAATTTCAGAAAATTATCACCGTCGGCGCTGTCATCAATATGGAGGACACCGTGCGACGATGCCGTCGTGCCGTTGCTCCGCGTGCCCACCAGGAATCGGAGTGCCGGCCCGGGACGTCCTGGGGCCGTCCGCCCGCTCGAATATTCGTGGAAACTCACCGAACGTCGACGTAGGATACGACTGTGGACGCGATGCGTGCACCGTCGGGTTGATACGAAGCCGCCAAATATACACGTAACCCACGATCGTCGCGTGAGGGCGTTGTATAAGAGCAAATATGGCCGATCGAACTGCGAAGGTTCAAATGCTGCGCTGTGCTGCGCGTCGGCAGCTGCGCACTGGCACGTCACGCGTCACGCTCGCGTGTTTATACGCGCGTCGCGCTGGCCTGGCCGATCGTCGTTTTTGGCACCTTCCGGAGGACCGGATGGAGTCTCCGAGCCTACGGGGAACATTCCGTCGGGACGCCCCGAATTCTTCAGCTGCGATCATTTCAAATCCATTCGAGCAAATTCTCGCATGACCGTCCAATGTGTACGCGTGAAAAAAAATGACAAAAGCCATCGCCTCGTCAAACGCGTAGAATGGCCATGTTGTCGCGTTCCTTCTGTTTTTATCCGGCACTTAATTATTAAACTTTTTTCTTACGCTTGTTATAATTTATATTTTTTTTATATCTTAATTTTTTAGTAATTTTTTATATGAGAGTCCATTTAAATATTAGATCTTTCGCATCCAATTTGAGTCGCACAGTTTCTACATGCGGAACGCAATATACGCGTTCCACGCATGCAAACTGACATGGCAGCCAATCGACTTTCCGCTTTTTCCGGAATAGTAGATATGTAGAAGCAGGCGATTGGCTATCGCGTCTCCTTCTTATTGTGTAGAATTGATTGGTTGATTTTTCTGTTCATTCACATTGTGCGAGTCTGGACGGACCTTAAAAGCCATTTGATAAACGAAAATTTTCGCGAAATTCAGACTACAATCAATTCGTATATTTAAAATTTTTTTCGCAAAAATAAACTACTCGTATAATATTTTTGCGGCTACTTGTCGTCGTGTCGAAAGATTACGCTTCATGCATTTGATGCCAATTTATAATTGTTGCAATATACTGATTGAAACTATCATTGAATAAAATTTAAAAAAAATTAAATGTTTGCAGGTTGAGCGATTAGCAAACTTCTACATATAATTATGTTGTATATTTTAAAAACAATTATGGAACCGTACAAGTCATATTAAAGCCATGATTAAATACAACATTATTGAGAAAATAAAATCATTAAGGATATGTACAGAAATTTGCGCGTATATAATTCGAATTTAATACAATCAGGATATTTCGTAGAGCACGTATAAAAATAGCAGTTTTAATATAGTTTTACAATATACTGTACTTTCTTCATACCTTGTATTACAAAACACCATGTGGTAACTTATTAGATGACAATTACATATACGTATATATATGTATAAAAAATTACATAACAAGATATAAACTTAAAATTAATTTGAAGAGATACACAAATAAACATTTATCAATCTTTTTTTTGTTGGAAGAACAGAAAACGTATAAAAACTTTTTAACATGTTAAATATTGTGTAGTAGAAGATAAATTCTTCTTCACATAATTGCAGATTCAGTTTAAAGATTATTTAAATATTTTTCTAATATATATCAAAATTTTGTTAGTACAAACACATATTTTAAAACATGTCTTAAGTCTTATGAAAAGACTCGTAGGACTGGCAGGACTGATCCATCATATTTTTAACTTTTACTTGCAAAACATAGCCCACGAATACTGCCATTAAAATCGTCAATATTATAGAAATTACAAGCATATATTTTACTTTAATGATCTCACTGTATATATTGTTGTTATGGTTTTCTAAATGGTTTATCTGAAATTATATGCATTAATATATTAATATGTTTATTTTACTACATACTGAGAAAATGTTGTGAGATTGCATTATTAGATCACGTACCTTAGAAGAAAATGCATCAATACGATCATTTCCTGCCGATGAAGAAGTTAGCATAGAGTGAGATTTTTGCATCTCGCTATTTTCAATAGTACCGTCGCAACATCGCAGTCTATGCATTTCTGTTGCCTTTTCAGACTGCAAGCAGGTAACATTAACATGTAAATTTATCGTAACGGATCTTATCGAAGAATATTTTAAATTTGAAGTATATTTTAACATTCCGATATCAGGACAGATGTACTGACAGATGAACTCGGTCAATGTAAAAATAATAATTACCTTCCACAGTACACTCAGTTCTTGCGTTGTAGCATTTGTATTTTTTAATGGGAGGCACATGACTAGAAATCGATCGTTGTACAATAGACCGCGCACATTATAGCCAGGTTGCAGTACAACCGTGACATTTCTCTGTTCGGATGGTTGCAGAACTCCTGAACTCGGTCGTACTCTAAATTTCTCCGGCGATGTTGTTTTTATCTACAAAATCATTATTGACATTTGTTACGTCACATTTTCTAATAAATTCCAGTAGTTATTATTGTTTTAATAATCAAATAACGTAATACTCATGTACCTTGTAAGACAAAGGCTTATCGGTTGTAATATTCTTAAGTGTAATTGTCCCAGTGATATCATTTCCATCTTTATTAAACGTAATTACTTCTGTCGGTTCTATGGCTAACATAACTGGGAACAAACATAATTTATTTAATACTGTATACATGTACACACACATTAATATACGTTCGCATATTTTAATATGCAAATCTATTATGTTACGCAAAAAATAGAAATATATACATATACACATATATAAAAATATTTTTGCTTTTTACATATTCTAGCGTGACGTAATAAATATGCATATTAAATTATGCCAACGTGTATTAATGCATATAAAATTTTATACATACATTGATCCTCATTAATTTGATCTCCAATACTAGTCGGACTTTGTTCCGTAAGTGGTGAATTATCTACAAAATGCACCTAAAGAAAACACACAGTATGTTTAAAGAAGAAATTGGACAGATGTTTTAATCATTATAAATATCTTAATACTACATCTTCCAAGTATTCCATTTTACTTATTGTTAGTTCTTCCTTTCTCCTTACTCCGGATATTAATTTGAACTATTTGAAGTATAGAAAATATTAAAAACAAATCAACATGAACAAAAGAATAACAGAAAAAAGAATACAGTGCAATGACAAAAAAGCATAGTGAATTCAATATGTCATAAGTGAAAGCAATCTTGATATTACTCATTCTTGATATTACTCATTATAACAATTGTATAAAAAAATGTATGTGGCATGTATACCTTTTTATTATCCAGTTTGCCATTCGATACACCATCTCCATTTGTCTGCACTTCTGAGACGAATTTAAAGATGTAATCGTTGTTACCACCCCAACATTTCAACGCATCGTCTAGATTGACGTAATCTTTGATTGTAGTTTTGTTAACAAACTTAATTTTCGGGACAGCTTTAGCAGGTAACCATGATTTTATTATTTTAAAAGCTGCATTTAAAACCCAGGCCATCTCGAAAATTATGATGTAATTTAGAAAATTTGGGTAATAAGATTTGAATAAACCAATGAGATATTTCGTAAGCTCCATATCCATATTGGAAAGTCCAGCTTCTGCCATGTCAAAGAAAAGTGATATCTGATTTCCATTTCCTTCTCTGAAAATATAATGAATCAAAAATTTATATTAACAGAGTACAAATATATAGTTGTAGATATATTAATATTTTGTGTCTGCCTTTGCATAAAGATAAGGAAACGCTATTAAGTATACTAATACCTTTCTAATCTCTCAAACCAATAAACTATACATCTCTGAAGCTCCGAAAAATCTTTTACTCCTTTGACATGCAACTTTGACTTAATTATAAAAAGCTTTTTGCCATCCTTGTCTTTACTAAAACCAAAGACTACGCCTTCTTCTAAATAATCTCTCCTCAAATTATCTTCGGTAATATCTGAAATTCGACATATAATATGAAAGAAGAGAAAGAGATATACTTTGTTTTACATTATTTTATTAGTATCAATCCTTTCAGGACCGAATACTTTTGACAAATGGACCATGCATGCGTGGAATACTCTACTGCCTGTGGCATGATTCAGCGCTGAATACTTTTGTTTACAGTTAAGGATACGTTTAAAAAGTTTACACATATTGAAAGGATTTAAATTGCACTTTATCCAAATTAAGACATACGTAGACTTTCGCCGAAACAACTTTTATAAGTTTAATTTATGTTACTACAATACCCCATAGAGAATAATAATAAAAACTGAAAAACTATGTCGAGCACAAGGTTCACAGCCGCAGTTTTACCATTTGTTCCAAACTTTCTTCTCCAAGTACAAGATTCCCACAGCATGTTGAACGCTTCTTGTTCGTTATTCTCATTATGGTCCAAAAATCGTTTCAGCCAATTATCACTGTTCTTTATCCTAGCTATATCAGCAGGATGGAAACCTCCTGTGAATAATTGTTAATCAGATCCAGATAAGTGAAAAAAAAAAACAAATGCAATTTTTTTTTTCTTTTTTTGTATTTCACGCTTCTGTAAACGATTAACGTGGACAAGCGCCTCCAATTAGCCATGCGTCCTTATCGCGTCAATTAGAACGCCAATTATTCTCAATTGAACACGCGAACGATTGCGATACGACCTTTGCACACGTTACATGAGCACCGTTATATTATATATACGCGGCGTCAGTTGGCGTTATAATATTCTCAGAAATCGTCCTTGATCATCGAAGAGAAAAGGGTTGGAACCTGTAGGTACGTACTGGAGTCGGGTGGTCCCTCGTCGTCCAACTTTTTGAAGAACCTCTCGCGAAGCTCCGCGATCATCCTCGCTTGCGTTTCCATCTTTCTTTGTCAGGCTAACGGCCGGGAGGATGACACTTTGACCGGCGTCGAGAACCTACCGTACGATAACCAAATGATAATTGTTTATTCGCACACACGCCTGGGCCTGTCGTGCCGCGCTGTCGCTGTCGCTGGTCGCTCCGCGTGTGTCGGGTGAAATTCCCCTCTACGTATGCCGAAGTCTGTGCCCACACCCCGACGGCGCAGTTCGACTTCGGTCGGTTCGGCACGGCACGTTCCGTCGTTGAAAGTGAAATAAAGGCACGTTCGTATCTGCGAAGAGAGAAGGGGGAAAAGGCGACAGAGCGTTGTTCAGTGTGCAGTTAAACTGGAACGGATTCTTCGCGGCTTTATCTGATAATCAGAAAAATTTTTAAACGACGCCACTCAGTTAATGGTATTCCATTTAAAATTATCAATTTAACGGGTTGTGATTACTCGATCACGCTCCGTTGCGATACAGCAGACTCTCGCTCACACGACAATTCTTGCGTCACACTATGAGAAAGCAATAAATTTTTTGTTTAAGATAATTTATCGCCCAGTAATCGTATAGTTATACGCCTGCGGCGAATAGTTCCCGCGCGGTGAACTCCGTGTCATAGTCCAAGCAATTATTTTTCGTGTCTGAATCAGCTGTAGAAACAGCCATCTTATCATCAGCTGTCGCGATTGTCTCGAATGTTATACGTAGTGATGGGCCAAGGGGTTAGTTTTTTTACGAAACAGTGTTGTAACTGTTACTTCGCAGTAACGATTCATTAAAATTAGATATGAAATTGTATAACAGAATGGACCAAGGGGTTAGTTTTTTTACGAAACAGTGTTATAACTGTTACTTCACAATAACGATTCATTAAAATTAGATATGAAATTGTACAACAGAATGGGCCAAGGAGTTAGTTTTTTTTACGAAACAGTGTTATAACTGTTACTTCACAATAACGATTCATTAAAATTAGATATGAAATTGTACAACAGAATCTTGTCTATTAGCCCTATAGCATGATATCTATTTTACATAGAACTTCTGTGAAATTATGACTATTAGAAATTTGAAACCAAAAGATCTAAAGTATGCTTGTCAAGAATAAAATATGTAAAATATTTAAATATTGGCAGGAAAGAAAAAACGTTCAGATATCAGATTAAACAGTTATTACTTTGTAATAAATTTTACACAATTTACTGCAATATTGTTAGAAAGCAACTTAACTGATTATTGATCAGTTTAATTTAAATGGATATCACTCTTGTGAATATAATTACTTGGTCTTGAAATATTGGTTGCGATCAACAAAAAAAGCAGCTTTATAACTGTTGAAAGATCAATACATAGAGATAAAGTCTCCGACTATTGGAATATTCTCTTTTAGATCCTTGATAGTTCATTATTGAATCAGTTAGATCCAGAAGAATGTACCAATTAGCAGCAATAATCATTAATCACTGAATGATGATTAATAATCTCTGATTGGTATATTAATTTAGATTTACTAAGGATTTAAAAAGATTATATTATAATCACACACAATTATAACTATTAAACGCTTATTAATCACTGACTTCTGATTACATTATTGCTCTAGTAAAATTGTGACTTGATAAATATAAATCGTTCAGTCCATCAATTCATTCCGTTATTTTCTAAATTTCATAACGATTATTAAAAGTGACTTCTCGATAACGTTTATTCTGTAACAGAAAAAAATAATGCTCATTACTATAGATATTATCACAGAAGCATCTCACGTGAAACAACAATTCCTGACAATCATGATAATCTTTTTGAAATGGTAGCTTAATGCTACGTGATGTTTGATTAGAAAAGATTGTAAATACGTCAGACACGCGTTGCATTTGCTGAAACGTAATCTACGTACGTGCAATCACGGGTAATATTTATGTAATATTTTTGCTTGTTTCTTTCAGAGAATTTGAGACAGTAACAATTTGCGACACACGAGCGATGGATGATGAAACGTTGAATAGGTAATTATACGATTTCATTGTGTTATTATGTTTACATAATAATTCACAATGTTGTATAAAGATTCCCGTTTGTTCGAATAACAGCTGATTTTTATTCTTGCTTTTAAATTGACGAAATTAAGTATATGTTACAATTACACTTTTGGGAATATTTAAAAACAATATAAATTTAGTTTAATTTTTAGGTTAACAATAAAATATTCTAAAGTTTGCATAAACTGCTATATTTTAATTTTTTTTATTTAAAGAATCAGACTCTTGAAATAGCAAAATCACTTAACTAAAAGTTGTGTATCACTGATATATATGTTAAATGTTCTATACATGTCAATATAATAAGCAGAGAATTTATATAAACAGAAAGATATTGCAGAAATAAGAATTTCATTGATTGTAACTTCTCTTTGTATTTGTACAATAATGCAACAGTTCCTACAAAATATAAATATTCTTCTAGGCTGGCAGCCGAAGCTTTACTGGAAGAAGCCAAACTTGGTGCACGAAGGGCCGAAATAATGGGTCCTAGTGGATGGGTGAAACCTAAAGAAACCGTTAACAAAAGATTTCTCCATTCAACATTGAGAAATGCAGTAATATCAAACAAGCACCGTCATAAGCAAGAAAAGCAAGAAAAAATAAAAGTTCAACCACGTAAAGCGGATGCTGTTAAAAAAACATAATGTACAAATAGTATTGTTTTTAAGTATTTATGTTAATACATGTTTCTGATATGTATTCTATTCTGACAGTTACTCATTTTTTGTTAAGAGAGAGGGGAAGAAATGTGTAAACGCCTTTAAATATTGTTACTAAAGTAAACGACTGTAATTGTTTTTATTTATTCTCTCTGTTATAGTACATTCATGTTATAATCAAATATTACATATTTTTATATGGAATAAAAAAAGAATTCTATATAAATATACCAATAAACAGTATAAAATGAATTATTAATCGATTATTAATATTGTACAAAAATATTTCGAATACTTTTTGCACATATCTGTTTTTTCTTTCCTGCCAATATTTAAATATTTTACATATTATGTTCTTGATTGTTAAGGATGCTTTAGATCTTTCAGGCTTCAAATTTCTAGTAGTTATAATTTCCACAGAGAAGTTCTATGTACAATAGATATCATACGTTTTATAGAGCTAATAGACAAAATTCTATTGTACAATTTCATATCTAATTTTTACATTCATCATCAGATTCGTTAAATGTACAAAGATGAAATTAAGTGTACAAAAAACGTTACGTATCCTATCTTGTCATCTTGCATTTCATATCTCTCTTAAACTGCGCTTAAACGCTTTCAATAATGTTAATTATAACACCACCGAATAATAACAAGGTTTTAAAAGCACCAATATCTTTAACTATATCTTTAACAAATATATATATGGTAGGAGAATGTAATCGTACGCTTCTCTTCTAAGTATAAAATTGCTTACAGTTAGTAATTACTTATACTTAAAACATTTTGCATTGATAAGTTGCGCATATCAATATATGGCATCGCTTAAATGTTTGCTTAAAAAAGAAATCAGAGTAATCACATATTCGTAGTTGCACATCCCTATCTCATCGAGTATTAAATTGATGAGACTGATACAGATTGAGATGTCTCTCTTCATATTAAGATACAAGCAATACTTATCTACCATTCATGTTTTATGGAGAAAAAAATAATTTCTTAAACACGTAAATTGCATTGCATATAAATCACTCCTCGATGATAAATTGGGATAAGATATAGTATATATATATATATATACGCGTAATGAAATTAAACCGCTTTTGCATCTGCAGTAGATGCACAATGTGATAATATGCACTCACACTTGATCAATCCTTCAAAATTCGGTTAGTATTTAAAAATTTAACTTTCATAACGTATTTTTTTTATATTACACGCATGAAAATGTTCAACAATTTCAATAAATAATGAAATTTTCAATTTTTATGTTCCTGTTACATATTAATGTCAAGTATTTTTTAAATTTGCAATATTGTACAGCAAACGATGGAAATTTTGGTACTTGCATTTTTGTGCATACTTCTGCTGTGCAATATTGTTAGTAAATCACGCAAATTGTCAGTTTATAATAATAACAATGATATTTATGATAATGACATGACAAATATGATATATGACAAATGATCCTATAAAAATCTAGTCTATATATGTGCAGTGATAACATATCCTGAATTTTGGGCCCGTTATTTTTTTCCTGTAACCTTTATCTACTAAAATAATTGCCTATGAAAAAAAACTACCTTAAGAAAATTATATTTTAAGCATTAAATTATGTTTACATGATTAAATCCTTCCATAAGCCAAGAAAAGTTATCTGGAGCCATAGATCCCGCTTCATTGCATAGTTTATCATTATTTTTGCATGACCCCCTACAGGTAATAAATAAGTTACGCAGATCCGTTCTGATGTATTTTCTTTTTTTGTTCTAGCAAGTCTTTCATGTCGCCAAGTGCTTTCTCGATTTGTTTTGCAAATCTGGCGGCATCCTATAAATATTAAAATTAATTTATTATTAAAAGATTAATATAATTATCATTATATTATTCTTTGATATAAACAAACAACTACATACTATAGATGTACGAAATATAATGAGAACAATGCAAATATTTAAAAAAACACTATAAATATGAAATATAAAGGAAAATTATGATAGTGAAACCGAAAATTATTTTACCGTTTTTGACGAAGATCGTTTACTAGAAACGTGGAAGAATAGAAGATCTTCTCCCGCAATTATATAAGAAACACCATAACCATCATCGGCCACAGGACCAAATCCACCACCAGCTGAAATACAGTTAGGATATTTCTTCAAATCCAATCTCGAAGTTTGACCGTGTGGAGTTTGTGATGTTGACAATCTCCATGGTTCGCTTAGAACTTCCTACAATAGAAGCATTCATCGTTTAATGAGATTAAATTTAATCGATTGCCTGATAGGAAATCCTAAAACAATTACCTTCAAAAATGGTGAATCTACTTCTAAGTACTTCGATACTACATATAAACAAAATAGATGCCTATCTATTCCTTTTCCACACATAGCATCTTGGTAACCTCTTTGATGTCTTGCTACTGCATCCATTAGCAGCTTGACTTTTTCTGTTATCTATGTTGAAAGAAAGATCAATTAGAGATTCACGAAGAAACAAATCTGTGCAGTTCTCACTTAATATTTCATCTTTACCGTTAATGTTTCGTCCTCCATTGCTTTCACCCATTTGGAAGATTCAATAGTGCACGGTCTGACCGTTTCTGTTCTACCTTCTCGGAACAACCTCGTCATGGAAGCTTCATATGTTAAATTAAACTTGCCAGCGTCGCGGTAGTACGCCAATTGTAACGCCATTTGTATATAGGCGTCCGGTGATATGGAATGGGTTTTCATCAAACCTTTGCCATAAGTGTTGTGTACATAAATACGTAATTCCACATCATTCAATATACTGTGCGCTACCTGTTAAATTTAAAATCAATAGTTATATAACCGTGATATTTGCTAAATGTATTACATTTAGGACGAAACTAATTATTATTATTATTACCCGGTAGGATTGTTCAATAGCTTCAATACATTTGGTATTTAAATCCCATTGCAATCGAGTTGGAGCTGGAGGTGTAAATTCTGGAGTACCCGCATTATGTCCTTCCTTATATCTGAGAATAATATATATATCTCAAATATATATATATATATATCTCAAATGATAGAATAATATATATCTCAAATGATAGAAAATTCTAAGCTTCTGTATTTTACTTTATTGAAAGAAATTAAATTCAAAAACTATATTATTATGCATTATTATGAAAAGTAAGGACTAAATTTCACGATTGTTTATTAATATTTCATTCTAAATGAACTTGAACTAAAATAGATAAAATAAATCAATTCAAGCCCTTATCTTAATCGATTAATCCTTATTTTCCAGATAATTTTTTCATAATCCCAATGTCATGCAAATCTAAATACACATTTTACTGTATGTACTAACTACGACAATATATACTTTAACTACAACAACTTTCATTCAATTATTTTAATTAAGCAATAATTTTTTTTAAATTAAAATAGTTATTATTATCTTAATCATACATTTATAATGCAATAATGTTCAAGCAGATAATTGTATTTTAATGTTAATATATTAAAAGCATTTGCAAGCAAAAATTTACTATTGTTATTATGTAGGTTATTATGTAGAAATGCTTATAAAAATAGAAAAGATAATTGTATAAAGATAATTATTATAATAAAAGTAATAGTGACAATTGTAGTTATATAATTATTAGAAATTATATAGACTATATAGATAAATGATTAATTTTGCCCCACTACATTATACTGTGTAAACACAACAAAAATTACCCGATTTTAATATCAGCAGCTACAATAAATTCCCATAAAGTTCCGAGTACTGGTGCATCAGCCCTAATAAGCATATCAGAAAAAAAGACATTAAAGATAAAACGCGAAAGAGAAAGACGAAAAGCACTCATTGTCAGTACAAGTAGTCCGGTAGAGAAAGATTTCCCTTCGGGAAACGTAATTTCTTTAGGGGACTGAAACATATAAGCATAGCAAGAACCCCACAGAATTTTAAAGATGACTGCTGCAAAGGACGTTCGAGGACACTAAAGATTTGCTAAAAGAAGAATCTTAAATAAAAAAAAAAATCACATATATATGTTGCAATCCATACTACTTTCATAGACGTTCCTTGACACACAATAGATAGTCATACAACAGGTATTTTTCGAAAGCAGAAGAAGAGATAGAGGCAAAATATGTAATATAAGCTAAGGATTGTAATTCTTACTGTCGGTCCAGGAACTCCGAACATACTACGTACTCCCACAAGTGTGACATGACTGCAGCATCTGCCCTGCTCATTACTTATCATTATATGCAGTGTTTCAATATATACATAAATTTGTATGTAATAAATCTTATTTTATATTAATAAAAATATAGGCTTAATTATTCATAATATATTGTGTATAACAAATTCGCGTCTTATGTTATTTTGTCTCTATTAAAAATAAGTGAAAAATAACAATTTTTTTTAATGAAATTATTTTTTTTTCATATAAAAACATTTTACGAAAATGTCAACAATAAAGTTTTTATTATTTATATAATCCACATAAAGTGTGTACTCACCAAGAATGCTCTGCATTGAAGCCAATCTGTGAACAAGAATTATTTTTATAAAACATTGAAGCAAATGATGAAAATGAAGAAAATGAGAAAATGAAGAAAATGAGAATCAATTTTAATATGAAAATATAATAATATACTTACTCTTCCATTGCTTCCAATACATAGCGTAAAGGATTTATCGAACCATCGATCATACCCTTTTCCATGTAATAGGATTCTACCATAATGATCTAATTTTTCTGGATGTCCCTAAAGCACAAAATGAATATAATTATATTAATTTGCAAATATGATTGATATTCATATTGTTCAGAATGTTTTTATTTTATTAAATAACTTACTGGATCGTATTCATAAGGTACATCGTCCAATGCGACCACAAATGCCGCCTTTTCAATAATATCCAAAGAAGCCTTATTTACACCTTTCGAAAAGAAATCCTTCCTAGCCTGTGCCCAGGCAGTTCTTTCGCCGGCTGTTAAAGCAGCCAATTTCTCCTCTCCTTCTGATGGCGTGGAATCGTCGTCCAAAATTTGTTGAATCTGACTATAAGGCGATAATATTATAATACACATGTGTAATAAAAATTCATACTTGTAAAGCAGTAATAACTTACAGTTCTATTTCGCAGGCTTGAAGAATTCTATTTCGGTAATAAATTAAAACTTTGAAATATCTGCCCTTATGATACACTACAACGTGTTTAGAATCCTGATAATGCACAATTTTGTCAACTTCAATTCCTGGAATTCGTGTAGTGTTAAATACTCTTTCATACTGCCAAGAACACAATGGTACTAATCCTTGTACTAGAATCTGAAAATGAACATATTTTTTTTAAATATAAACCTATCTACATGATAATATACTTGTGCGATGCAAAATACCAACACGCAGCTCTTATTTTGTGCTCTATATATTTTTCTCTCAAGAAAAAAATGAATAGAAATAAAGGTGTTATAAATAAAAATTCGTACGCGTTCACTAAATGTATGAAAACCTCTTCATTTTTAATATGTAAAATAAGATGTATAAAACTAATGAAAAAAATAACTAACCGGTTCTAATTCTTGGCGTTCGATAAGACGTCTATATTGTAAGCAGGAATATATTACGGCTGCGGCTCGCGCGGCTTGCACGTTCGTGGGATGCGAGAGAATGGCGTCGATTCCGTAGAAATTCGAGTTGACCATTAGGGGCGATCTTCCGCGCAAATAAACATATTCCTCCCACCAATCGGACACATAGTTGGTGGTCCACCAAGACTTGAGGACCAGGTAACGCTGCAGCTTGATTCCGATGCCATTCTGGAACTCGTTGGCCAGCTTTTCCATGCGAGCGTAATTCTCATCATCGACCAACGGCCGTACGCTTCTCAGATACTATTTAAATGTACAATACTTTGATTTTTCCACTACAATGTTAAAGAGAACTGCCTAGAACTGTTATATACTAAACTAAAATCTAAACTAAAATATTCGTTACATCAGCGATAATATCGAATCAAATTTTTCGCAAGAAGTATGTGCTCATTTGTCTAATACGAGATCTAATAAAATACGTTATTTGATCTAACCCGCTTCATAGTATCCGGCACTGTCGGTAGTGGCAGTCGTGGCAGTGATCCTTGGAAGCTATACAGCATGGGCTTATGCCAACCTGACAACAGTTTCACTAGCAACAGCCAGACTTGGGTTAACTTTGACGGCTTGCGACCTTTGCCCCTCGCCTCGTACATCCATCCTTTGTACATAAGCATCAGCTTCAACGTGTACCGAATAGTGTATATGAACGCCAGCCATAGGAACAGCCCGACTACGAAGGAGCCTGCCAGGTGTGCGAGTACCGAGGACCTATCGCGAAAAGCAATTGGTTATTAATTGTTGCTAATCTGCGCGCGTGCAACGAATCGTAAATAATTTAGAATCGAGGGACACGAAAATTACCCAGAAAGATACGGTGAAACTTTTCCAACGAGGACATACGGGACCTTGTAGCCAGCAAAGTGTATCGCCGTTACTAAAATCACAGTAACCCATAGACTTTCCAAGGAAGCCGGATAAACGCCGCTTTTCAGATTGTTCTGTGAACAGGAAGAATGTAAGGACACGCGTTAATAATATTCATTAATTTACATTAATATTCAGATATTAAGTTAAACGTCCAAACGCGTCGGCGCTCATCAGAACACCGCGACACTCACCTGAAACCGAAAGAATCTCTTCTTCCACGACCGTACGCCAGAGAGCCAGACCAAGTGAAGTACCTCTCGATCGAAGTTTACATCCCATCCTTCATGTGTTATTGAGAAGCTGAATGCTACGGCCGAATGGGCTTCCGCCATCCTGCGTTAGCCTTCCTGTAAAATGCGAACGTTGGATTTATCTAACAATTAACATTTCATTGGGACTTAATCATAGCCTAAGCTTACATTGTCATTAAACTGATAAAAGAAAAACAAAGTACGGCGTTCCGAATAATGTTAAAAAAAACAAAGTTATCGAGATTATAGTCTATAGAACACAAGGATGTGTGCCAATCCAGGATGCTAATATAAAAGATATAAAAGATTTAATGCTTAAGATGAAAGAAACTAGTTTTTACTGAATGTAATAATAGAATAAAATAAATAAATATCATAGTTTCTTCAATCTCAAAAGAAAACAACAGAGAAAGAGCAATTTCGTCGTGATGAGGTTGCTCTTTCGTACGCGATCGTAGCGGTGATAACGATGCAGAGTGAACGCAGATGCACCAGTTGACCTTACTTAAAAGCCGCAATTGCGATGCGCACGAGTGCGTGCGTGAATGCATTGTAGAACATCGCCAAGCTGATAAATATGGGCCATCATATGGTAACAAGTTCGGTGTACTTACAAATTATCGTTCACGACACTTATTTTATTTTTTATTTTGTTATTTTATTTAAAAAAAAAAGTCTAATAGAGACTGTATTTTCGTGCTCACTAATGCAGAATAATGCATTACTAATGCAGAGAAGGACAGTTCTCAGTATAATTTACTAAAGTAAATGCGAGTAATAGTATATGAAAAAAATTAATTTATTTTGGTACTTAAATAAGCAAAAAATTCATATTCTCGATTTTGACATCAATATCATAGAAGAAAAGAGGAATCTCAAAATAAAAAAAACATTAAATTATAATTCAGAAAGCAATCAATATCAAAATACATATGTCAAATTAAAATGTTAATCCTATGAAAAAAAGTATTATTGATCAAGAATTGTGAATCAGTCACATATATGATATAAACAATATTCTAAAAAATATTAATACCTATGAACTTTTGTCATAATTAATAATTTATAATAATTATTACTCAAAGTCCAATAATATCAAAATATGCCAAATTAAAATGTTAATTATATTTAAAAAAAAGTACTATTGATTAAAAATTTAAATCAGTCACATATGTGGTATAAATATTCTAAAAAATATTAATATCTATGAACTTTTGCCATAATTAATAATTTATATTAATTATTTTAGGAACTTTTAATTTAAATATGATATTTTGTAATGAAGACGTATCACAAAAATCGCGTTTGTTTCAATAAGTATATTCTTTGATATAAAACCTCTTAATTTTTTCTATTTCATGTCAAATTAATATTATTATTACTTTTAAAATTAATTTTCGTCATCGAGCAATTATGCGAGATCGTTACAAAGTGAAAGACTTGCGCGAAAAACTCATAAAAAAAAAATAAATACATATTCCGGGTCATGGAACGTGTAAGAATAAAGTGTTTAAACGGATTAGAGGATGTTACGCGAAACCGAAGATGTCGAAAGTTGAGGGCGGTCTTCTTCCGTGTTACAATTTTAACGCGTTACAAAAGCGTACTGCACGCGAGATAGAAAGCCCGTCTGCGTTTCACTCGATTTCCACTCACGTCATGATGGAGAGGAATATCGGGAGAACGGGAGAGAAGCGCTTCTCGATGACAGCTTCTGATCAATACAAGATACGTAATTAATTTAACGATTAACCCTGCTCGCGTACGAGCTACAAAAAATACGAAGCGAATATGTCACTTACTTAGACAGAGGAAAGTAATTGACGATAATTCGCGGAGGATGTGCGAATGCGTATGCGGATAGCCCGTCACGCTTTCAGGTCGGAGACTTTTTTTTAGCGAGAGTGCATTACTCGATTCATTCGAGGATCCTTTTTCTCTTGATTTCACTACGTAGAAAAGATGGTTTAGCAATGTAACAAATGTCAGACACGGCATGTCGCTTAGCAGAAGTTGTATAATGCTGTCTTTTCAAACTTCGACTTTGGAAAATTATTTGAATTAAATTTACAATCAGAAATGTTCAAGAAATATACGTTCTTTAAAAATGATGAGAACATGATCGAACTTCTCGTATAGATCAAACGAATAGATACGTTCGCAATAATTTTTACGCAATGCTTTGTAAGTGCTCTTTCGCGTATAAGTGGTTATAACTTCGTACAAATATTGTTCTAATCTTTTTCACGGAAAAATATTCTCGAGGAAAATCGACGCGGAGAAATCGTCCTCGGATGGCTCGTGGATTATTATTGCTCCCGCAATTCACAGGTATAGTAACTATATACCCGTTTGCGAATGTATGTGACTAATAACCTTGGACTTTGAACAACGACTCGTCCGGTTAGGCGAGTCGTCATAAACTTAACGAATAATTGAGCGCGATCTCTTGACGCGTTCGTATCTCTACCATCGCTGCATCCATATTTCACTAACGCAAAATTATTCGACGGTAAGGTGTGTTTACGACGGCTAATCAGTTCGATGATCTCAACGAAGACATATGATAAGTAATCAGTTGCGTCTGTCGCAGGTGTCACCTCTCTCGGTAGGTGTGAGTTAGCTTGATGATTTCATTGGGCGCCTGTTATCGCAATTCTTCAGAATACAGTAATCATTCTTTAACCGCTGAACTGATAGTAATTTTTTGATAAACCGTTTAATTAAGAAAAATGTCATTTCACGTTGGAGAAATTTTGCCGTTTTTCGTGCGTTCTTTTCAATCCAAGAAGTTTCTGTTCGATGACTGTACGTAACGTGTCGGTGCCCATCGTGGCAAATAAACTACATCGAGCAAACTCCTTCCATGCCGTAAGTAGGTCATGTGCCGCGTTTCATTTGTCTGTGATATACGTGTATACTGTTGACCTAAAGAATTAATCCGGTAATAAAGTTCTTCACAAAAGGTAATCGGTAAGGACAAAACCAACTGTAAATCAATTAAATCGACAATTAGTGCTGCAAAGTTAACAACGAATGCAATTATGAGGAAATTATGCATAACGGTTCTGCTAGACGGATTTACATAACAGATAATAGAATCTTGCGAAGTAAAATTACTCAGTGACTAAATACAGAGCTTTTAACAAAAAACGAATTAAGTCCACATAATTACAAAATTTTGTGCAACATTAAATTAATCCACCAAGCAGTAAATTAAATTTAAATTGCACAAAGCTTCACAGCTGGATGCACATATAGCTCAATGTTAATTTTTAAGTTAGTATTACGGCTCTGAAGGAAACTATTATGAGGTAATGTGTAATATATTGGAACACAAGTTATAAAATAAAGTAAAATAAATATATATGTACTTATTTAGAGCGCTCATGGTCAGATATTGAAGTTTGGTAAATGTTTCCATTACACGCCAGATTCCATATCGCGTCGAGACTACTGCGATAAATATGCCTAATTATTTCGCATTATCTCCGTTACGGTAATACGTAAACAATTAGCGTCTCGACACTGAATAATGTGAATCCCGTATATGTACAAATACAAACTCATGTAAACGCAGGTCCGAGTTTATCGTATTACGCGTCAGAGATCATTATTTGAATTGCTTAAAGTTCTCTGAAACGCGCAAAGAGCGTATTGGAACAATGATAACATTAATAGTCAAATCACTCTCTAGAGGTTCAATCTCGATGTTAATACAAGTCACGTGCAGCGAGTCTCTATTCCTCTTCCTCTCTCCCTCTCTCTTTTAAATCGCGCACTTACGTAAACAGTCACCTATCGTGCGTAACCCCGATAGATAAAAGGGATTATCAATCGGAAACAATCGAGTTCAGATATGAATCCTGAAATTTGTTCGATAATTTATTCGCATTATTAAAATAATCTGATTCGCTCTTCAAGTCTACTCTCAATGCGTCGTCTCATACACAGATAATATATGATATTATATGTATTATCATATGATATTTCTGGCAAAATTAATCTGTTAAAATTAAGGTGAATTTTTATAATTATTTAAATATTAATAATTAAAAGTTAATGACTCTTTAATTAACAAATATTAAACAGATGACAAAGGCAGTTAAGAGTCCCACGCAGTTCTTGGCGTAGGATTACGCGAAGGATTTAATGTAAAGAATATTGGAATAAACCAAGAATATATACGCACCAAGAACTGCGTGGGACTCTTAACTGCCTTTGTCATCTGTTTAATATTTGTTAAATATTAATGTAATATTAAATCAGGCAGATAATAGTATCTGTAATTTTCAGTCGATGCACAATTTTAAATTGTAATTTGAGTTTTAGTTTTGAATTCCTGAGATTGAAATTTCAGCTTACGTTTTTCTTTCTGAATTTTTTACTATCATATAAAGATGATTAAACAAAGAAGGAACTGAGAAGAAGACTGCGAAAATTAATTACTTAATGGATTAATCTATCCATGCAATTTCTTTGCGAATTACCTAACACTTAGCATTTTTGCTGCCATGAATTCTCACTTAAAAAAAGTCATTCTTCAAATATGTATTGTTCTGCATTGTATCCGAGAAAGCATTATGTTTTTATAAAGGTAAAAAAATTAAATTAAAGTATGATATTAAAGAATTCCATTGGACTTAGTAAAAAATATAATTAATAAGTGAAAGTTAATATTTTCATCATTTGTAGCATTCTTCATCATTTGATCAGTAATAAGCAATACTCCCGCCCCCTCTAATATCTCCAATAGTTCATTGTTGCGACATAACTTATCAATGAACTTTACTCGATGATGCTTTAGTACTTGATACAGAATGACGTTAATCATACTTGCCAATTTCCTTATCTAACTCTTCTTGATGTAAATCGTATTGCCAAGTCAGCAAAATATTTTACCAATGGAGATGAAAATCATTAGCACGATCTTGAATGATCTTTGAACCAGCTGCTGAACCATCTCCGCGTGAGTTTTCTTACCACATGCTGCGATCTAATATAAACTTCCAAAAGTGAAAGTTTTGCTATTGTGTACTTTGTGTTTTGAACCTTGAAATCTTGAAAGATTTAATCTTTCCTAAATCATTTTCTAG